GACATTGTAATCAAATGCAATTCATCACGGCGCATTGAGGGATTTCGCTTTGTGCAATGTTTTGTATTTTATGGGTCTGATTACAGAGGCCCCTTTGCGCTTTAAGAGCTTTGATGATTAACTTGGAACATATGAGGCAGAATGCAGTTGAAGCTCTAGTGTTAAAACTCCATCCAGTTTGATAAGGTCAATTGCCGCAAAAAAAAGGGAATTTTAGATTACACGATATCCAAAGTTCAAATAAACATCAGACTTTACTGTCTGCAGACTAGAGACCTTTTCTCTTCATTGAGGTTACAAAAAAAATAATAATACAGAGCGCATAATCAAAGTATGACCATGTGTTTCGGCTGTGGATTTTTGTTTCTTTTGTTGAAAAATTGGTAAGAATAAGAATACTATATGAGATTTGCACTGTATAGGAGCTACACTGAGGGATATACAGTATAGCCTATTACAATAATGCATTATGCACAGATAGACATGGTGGGCTTGAGCCTCTGCTTTTTTGCCCCCAGGCAATACAAGTGCCCTCTCGACAGTTAAGACAGCTTAATCTCCATCACTCCTGGTTATGGCAGTATAAGTAACAGCTGCCTATAGACATTTAACCTCAGATATGGATGCATGCATCATCTCAGCCTTCGAGTGATCATCAGCTAACTAGGCTAGGCCAATACATCAATGACAGTTTTACACTTACACTGTTTAATTATGAACATCCTTAAAACAACATCACTGATGATTGTGTTATACAGATTATACAGATTGATTTGTTTAGATATTAGATTTGCTCTTGGCTACAATTGCATCGATAAGAGTCTACTCGCAACCAGCCTAACAAGCATTTAGCTAATGTAGGCTCCTTGTAAATATAGTCCTTCATCTTGGACAAATATCCAAAAAATATCTTTGGACACTTCTGATTTTGCTTATTGCACTTGTTATTTGTTGAAATCATGGTGATGGTGAAGGAACTTTCTAAAGTTCTCAGGCACAACATTATACAACACGGAAATGATAAGAGCCACATAACAAGGACCTTATATATTCCTGTCACTACAATCTTTTCGATAATATGCAGGTGGAATGTTCATGGAACCATAACTAATTATCCCAAAGCAAGATTTCACAATATGCTCTCATACTAATGATAAGGAAGGTAAGTGCGAGAAGCTAGCTGTTACTCAAGAAGAGTTGCAGGATGACCTGAAAGCAGCAGGAACAACAGTTACACAGAGAACAATAAGCAATGAACTGCACCTCACTCAATAGTTCTTTACAAAAAAAAAAAAGCACAGAGATGCTTGTCTAAAATTTATACGTGAGCATTTAAGACAAGTCAAAACTCTTTTGGAACAAAGATGGAAAATTATAGAACTCTTTGGCAATAATTCAGCTTGTCATTTTTGAAGAAAGAAGGGTTGTGCATCATCATGATATGGGGCTGCTTTTCTGCAAACAGGACTGGGGCATTACACGTCATCAAAGACAATATGAATAGAGCAATGTACCAGGACATAATAGAAAAGAATTTAATCTCACTGGCCAAGAATCTGAATCTGAATCTGGGTAGAAGAGGGACAAGATAACAACCCCAAACATACAGTCAAATTAACTCAAGGCTACAAAAGAATGCGAAGGTTTCTACCAGCTAATCGTACTAGCTAATCTGCTGACATCATTCATTTTGAAATCACAAGTCCGTCAGAGGGACCTTCATAGCCTTGGGGAACTGAAGAAGAGTTGCCAAGAGCAATGGGCCAAATTTGAACCACAATGCTGCAAAAATCGAATTGCTTCTTACCATAGATGCATGGAAGCTGTAATTGCCAAACAACAGCTTTGCATCAAAGTGCTAATGTTATTACTTAATTCCCTGTAAATTTTGATTTTAAACATACTGCATCCTTGTATATGCTTATGAATACATACTTTTTTGCTAAGTCCAAAGCCAAAGGATATTGTGTGTATAAATTTGAAGTGGATACTGTCTATGCACTGTAGGTATAACAAAAGCAAAAGTGTCTGAATACCCCCACACACACTGTATATACAATAACTAAGTTAAGTACACTACATCTATAATAGGTTTCCAAAAAATAAAAAGCAAAATAAAATGAAATTGTACTGTAATTAATAGCGTACTCAGCAATAGCACATTCAAAGGCATTCACATGGGGCCATATTCAGAGTTGGCAACCTAAGCTGGAAACTTAAGTTCTAAAGTTATATCAATATTTAAGCAGGGAAACTTATTTGTATTCAGACCTGGTTCACACAGCTGCTTAAGTTGAATTTCTGGGTGCCGCATAAAGATTATTAAAATTGCCCATATGTAGTTCACATTTCTGAGGTTGGCAGATTTCTAGATTTCTTGTGTTGAGCTCTCGGGACAAGTTGTGTCTACTCCAAGGAATTTTCATTAAGCCAGAACATAATCAGGAGATAAAAAATGTGGATTGACAGTTTTCTCTTTGCTCCCAATGTAGAATTAAAGCAAGAGACAACTGAAAAATACACTTTATAATAATAAGAGTGTATGTAAATATTTAAATAAAAATTATTGAAATAGTAGTGGACTTATATATATATATATATATATATATATATATATATATATATGAAGTTAAAGGGATCTAAATTTCCCAATTTAGAAATATGGGTTCAATATTAACTTCTCACTATATGCACTCAATTGGACTCTGAATACAGCCCTTGGTGATTTAATTTCACTAGCTTAACTTTATGGCCTTTTGCAGGTTTTTAATGCACTATTCAAAATCAGGACTCCTATATACTCTCAGAAATGTTTCTACATCTAAGAATCTTTAGTATTATACAGTCATATTATTAAAAAATAGGTGGAAAAAAAAGAAAACCATTAAGAGTATATTTAGCAGCCAGGTGCTACTAATAAATTGCTCAAGATTACTTCATCAAGAAGTGTCACTACCTCTATCAAAGCAGAACTTTTGGCAGGTTGGTGTTCTGGAGCACTCAGTCTATATCATGCCAAGAAGTAAGGACATCAGCCATGACTTCAGAGAAGCAACTGTTGCTGCTTATCAATCTGGGAAGGGTTATAAGTCCATCTCCAAACTATTTGAAATTCATTCTTCTACAGTGAGAAGGACTGTTTACAAGTGGAGAGCCTCCAAGACAATTGCCAGTCTTCCCAGGAGTGGATGTTCCAGCAAATTCAGTCCAAGTTCATTTGATGCTCAGAGATATAAAGAAAAACCCATGAGCTACATCATGTGATCTACAGGCCTCTCATGACAGCATAATCAGAAAATCACTGAACAAGAATCACTTTCATGGACTGCTGGATAGGAAACTGCCCCTTCTCTCCAAAAAGAATATGGCAGCATTACTTAGGTTTGCAAAATTGCATCTGAATGAAGCACAAAAGTTCTGGAACAATAGCCCTTGGACTGATGAAACTTAAGTGGAGATGTTTGGTCATCATGCACAGCAACATGTTTGCCAAAAACCAAACAGAGTATATTGTCACAAATACCTCATACCATACCATGATGGTGAAGGGGTGATGATTTGGGCTTATTCTGCAGCCATATGACATGGGAAACTTGCTGTCATTGAGACAATGATGAACTCCACTTTATACCAGAATATTCTTGAGACAAATATGAGGCCATCTTTCCAACAGCATAAGCTGGGACAAAACTGAGTCGTGCAAGAGGACAATGACTCCAAGCACACCAGAAAATCGACATCTGAATGGCTAAAGAGGAAAAAAGTCAAGGTGTTGGAACGGCTAAGTCAAAGTCCAGACCTCAGCCACACTGAGATGCTGTGACAGGAGCTTAAGAGAACTAAGCATAAACGAATGCCCTCAAAAATCAATGAAAGGTGGTTCTACATGTTACTGACTTATTGAGTGTACTTATTTTTTTCCCACCTGGTTTCTGAATGTTGGTCTACTTTTTGAGGAAATATGACATATTGAAATCTGTTGTATATTTTTGTTGCCAGCTGAGGTTATTTGTTTGTTTATAGGAGTTGGTGAGGACCACAGAATTATTATTTAGGCCCTGATGAATAAAAACTCAGTTGAAGTAGGGTTGCACTTTCTTGTTCCCGTGACTGTATGTTACATCCTGATTAGACTTTTCCTCTGTAAGAACAAATATCTGTTAGGAACAAAAGTCGTGTTGTTAATAATGTTGAAAATGAAGAGTCCTGAGTCCTAGTGTGCTTTACTCCAGTCGGTAGTGGCCACATCACGTTACTTCTCGTTTGCATCAAGTTAAACTTTATTGTCTAGGTCAGCCTGAAAACTGCACTTTTCCTGTCACTATTAATCACCAGCTATCACTGATGTTGGCATTAATGGTATTCTCCACTCAATGCTGTTTAATAATGGTACATAGCCATATGTGTGAAAGTAGTGGGAATAAATCCCAAACTAGAGTTGGGCTTATCTCAACTTAAACTAGTCCATCAATAGTGTTACAAATATCCATTGCTCAGACCGGTAATAAGACTGGCAGTACAGGCTGTTGAAAACAAAGTTAATGTTTTTTTCCTGACTGGCTGAGAAGTATGAGGCAGTCAAAAGGGCATTATGGGTTTCTATTGGCAAAGTCCAAGCTCAATCACCAGCTATTTACAACAACCAGTCACATCTATAGGACTTATTTCTGCTTACTTCTGCTAGGCTTCTTACATTCAAAATGACCGGAATGATTTTCAAACTTATTAGAAAAGTCCAGACTCGCTGGATAGGTTTCATCACAAACTTCAGCATAAACACCCTCAGTATTCAAAATCCTTATCTGGAGCACTTTAGTATGTCATTTGTGGAGTACACACATGCATGTTGTTGTTCTTCTTTTGGCTGCTTCCGTTAGGGGTCGTCACAGGGGATAATCTGTTCAAATATTTGTTCTGGGACAGTTCTTATGCCAGATGCCCTTGCTGACATCCAGGCTTGGGAGTGGCACTGGGAGTGTACTGTCGTGTGCTGGGGTCGGTTCCCTGGCCAGGAATCGAACCTGGGCCGCGGCAGTAAGAGTGCCGTGGCCTAACCGCTAGTCCTCCAGTGATCCATGTACACATGTGTATAACAGTCATAATTAGGAAAAATATGGGATGGAAAAAAAATACATATTTAATGCATTTTTAAAATAAATAAATAACCAGACGCTATAAACACTCCACTCACAAAATTGGCTTTAAACAGTATTTCGCCAGTTCTTGCAACCATCTTCAGTAACCACTTTGTCATAGTCAAGGTTGCACTGAATCCCTCGAAGTACTGGAAACCTAACACGTACATGCTTATTAACACCAATTAACAAGTACATGCTCATTAGCACCAATGTTTTTGAGAGGTGGAAGAACTTGATGTACTGTAAGGAAAACTGGAACTCAAAGACAGTAATCAGAGCTCAAGATAGAACCCTAATTCCTGTGAAGGCAGCAACAATCCACCCTTTAAGGGTTTATTAGATAATTAAGGCTTTGCATGTTCTCTTCATGTCTATGTGGGTTTTCATCAAGGTTCTCCAGTTTCCTCCCACCTCCCAAAAAAAAGTCAGTAACTGAAATGTATACACTAAATTGCCCCCACGGTATATGTGTGTGTCTGTGTGTGTGTCTGTGTGTGCATGGTGCCATGTGATAAACTGGTTTCCCATCCAGGGTTTATTCCCACCTCACACCCATTGTTCCCTCGATAGGTTACTGATCCACTGTGACCCTGAAGAGTTACTGAAGACGAATGAATGAAAGAATGGATAAATAAGAGTAATAAATTGTTAAACCTTCACGGGTTTCCCCAGATGATCAGCAAAATATATATAAGGTTTCTAAATTTTCAAAGAGTGTACCTGTCATGTCACCATACTACCCCTCCCTGACCATATTTTTTATTTAATATGGGCATTACCTCTGCAATGTTATCCTAGCATTTCAATAACCTGAGTTTTCTGCTGAGGTCACTATATTTGGGAGTAAATTTCTGACTTTGATGCACAATGCGAACATAACCATAACTAGTGATGAAACATGGCTAAAATTACTCACCTAGCTTAGTAAGACTAACTGCTTTAAGACATCAATAATTGTTCGAGTTCCCAAAAACGATAACATCTTCATCCTCAGTGATTACCGTCCAGTGGCCCTGGCATTGGTGATCATGAAATCATCTGAGCGTCTGGTGTTATCATTTTTGAAAAGGAACACCACCACCCATCTGGATCCACTGCAGTTCGCCTATACGACCAACCGGTCATTGGAGGATGCAGTCAAAATGGGCCTCCACTACATCTGATCAACACTGGTGTCAATGCTAGAATCCTTTTTGTGGATTTCAGCTCCACCTTCAATACTATCCCTGAAAGACTGCATGGCAAGCTTCTTCAGCTAGAATTCTCACCTAAAATCTTCCTGACAGACGGGAGACAATATGTGCATTTTGAATCTATTCTGTCAGAGCCATTATCAGTCAGTACTAGTGCACCACATGGGTGCATACTCTATCATTTACTATGCTCATGATATGCTAATGACTGCATTTCTATTGAATGCAGAACTCAAGTTACCACTGTAATAAGTCTCATAAAGAGCAATGACAAGAGTGCCTACTGCAAGGAAAATAGCATAACTCACAGCCTGGTGTGTGAGCAATAACCTGGAGCTGAACAATCTCAAAACTGTTGAGATGTGTATCAACTTCTGCAGAGGCCAACCATCGCACCCGTCTCTGTCTATTAACAGCATCGCTGTAAGCACTGTTGAATCTTTCAGATTTCTGGGCTCCACTAGTACGAATACCCTCAAGTGCTAGGAGAATATCACATGCCGAGTCAAGCACAACAGAAGATGTTCTTGCTGAGGCAGTTGAGGAAATTCAATGTTCAAAACTCAAAATCCCAAACTATTTGAATTAACTTGTAACTGCTGAAAAGATCATCATATACCTCCTCACTCCTATCAATGTATTGTTCACTGGCAGAGCAAGGACATGGGGTCAGAAATTTGCTAACTACCCCACCCATCCAGCCAACGATCTTTGGAACTACCATCAGTCAGGTGCAACTGAACCATGAGAGCTCATCATTTTCCCATGTTCATACTTACTTCATCTGTGCATTGTAACACTTATAATTTATTAATACAATATTTATTAGACACCATATTATATCTGGGTTACAGTAACCTGTGCTGAACACACAATACATGCTAGTTGCACACTACCTCAAAGTACCTAGTATGATTACAGTTCATATTATGCACCTTATATGTATAGGTGTTATTGTCTATGGACTGGTAAAGTCTGATCTGTCTCTGTATCTAAATTTTCATTTGGGGCACTGTTGTGTATGTGTGCATGTCAATTTGTGACACTTACGCTTATATTAGATTTCCATGGCACCAATCACACAATGTATTAGTGAATAAAGTGTGTTGACAGATTAGCTCAAATCTGCTTTGATTCATATATACTTCCCACCAATTGCCGATTTCACTTAAAATGGTAGAAATGGTAGAAAACACACACCCACACACACATACACATATCTCCCCCTATTCTGGAGAGTGCCATAAAGCATATACGAGCTCAGAAGCCTAACAGCTCTTCATGCCTGGGCAGTAAAGATCACAATGTGTTTCAATGGGAGAAAAAAAAAACTCTTTTTCCTTATAGAGAGGGTAAGCCAATATCAGCTAAGTAACTAACTTTATTAATGTAAGCAATACTACATGCACTCTTGTTAAAGTACTTGAGTAGAGTTCACTGTAATGGCCCTTTTTTCGAGTATAATTAAATCATAGTACTTTGACTTTTATTTGAGATTTAAAAAAAAAAATTAAATATTCAGCTTCATTATATGTATTTTTTAATCACCATTACAGAGTAAAAAAAAAAAAACCCAGAAGGCTGTAAGCAAATTAAAAGGCATTATGTGAAAATTGACAGTTCAATTTCAAGAGCCAATCAAAATAAAGCAGTTTCCTGCTCAAGGCCTACACTTCAGACACCAGAGGCTTATACAGCAGCAGTAAAGCAGCAACGTCTGACATAGTGGAGACGGATGAGCTTCCCTGGCCCAATACATCACTTATTTACTCATACATAGTGTAAGTAATTTTCTTAATCACTAATTTTAGTTTTACTCAACTGAATTACTACTACAGTAGCACTACGTTTACTCAAATCAGTGAGTTTTGTAATTTTTCTACCACTTCATGGTGCCGAAATAAACTTTCTTGTTGTCCCATAACATAACATAGCTATGAGGCAGAATGACAAGGAGGATTCACTGAACTGCTGCTTGTTAAAGATGTATTGTATGCAGTGAAGTATATTAGGACAGTCGATTATCAGTTTAAATAAGGGATTATACAGTGTGATCACATGAAACACAAGGATACTGCATTTAATGCAGGCCTCTTTTGAAAACTGCTTATAAGCAGACACTTTGATATTTTGAAACGTGTGATACTCGGCTTGTACAGTTATCACACTGTGAATAATCTGATTCGAATGAAAAGCACAATTATGGCTTGATTATGCAGAGGCAGATATGAGAGGCTTCACAATTGTGAGTCTGGTACAAGAGAGAAAGAAACAATACTGCGTGCACACACACACACACACAAAATCTCTCTATACACACATGTGAGAATCTGCATGCACACACACACACACACACACTCACACAGAGAGGCTAAGAGAGATGATCCTCATTATGGTAAAAAGCCGGCATCAGAGGAATTGTTAAAAGAAAGTGATAATTGTATGAGAAAAAGAAAAAAAAAGTACAACAGGAGAAAGAAAAATGATCATACTCACCATGCACTGCTAAAAAAAACAGCATGCAACACCATAATCAGGATAAAAATCTTAATCACAGTGCTGCTAAATGATATTCCTGAGTGATCTGGAATTTCATTTGGTAAGAGATGTATGAGGGTTGTGTGTTAATTGACTTTGCAAGATGGCAGATAGAGAAGGTTTTCTCCCTCAGTAATTACCTCCTGCTACAGTTCCTCCTCAGCCAGGTTCGGCCTGGTTCTGTGCCGAGCGGCCAGAATTAATTTAGCTGGGATGTTTGAGGGGTGCGCCGACATGAAGGTCTAAATTGTCATAGCAACATGCTACATTGTGACAGATTTTTTTAAATGTCACTGCCTATTTTTGTAAGACCAATCCTCTAAAAAAAAAAAATCATAGAAGCTGCCCTAACTATAACCTAATATTTAAAGTAAAATCCACACCAAATAGGTTTATATTGAAATATCTGTGACATGATTAGTGATTTTGGTGCGAATTTTTTGGTTGATGCTGTATTTTCATTACTCTTATGAGAAGTTAGTGGTTGTGTACTGCACTGATATCTCAGCACAGTATTAACTAGCGCAGTTACAATGGCAAAGGAGAAAATATTCAGCAATCTCAAACATAACTAATAACAGTCATGTCACAGCATGAACAGAAACTCCATTTCCCAGCAAACACTGCAGCCTACAAACATGGCTGCTTGACTACACTCCCTAGAACACACACCCACTCGCAATCATCGAGCTTCTGATTGAACAAAATGGACAGCCACACACACTGGTACTCTTTAAAACAGACTTTCATTCATTCAGACACTGCTAAATATTTGCTCAGTTTTGTCGTCGTGCACCTGACTACACCAAACCGTTGTTTTGACTGTTTCTCTGGTTTGACCTGATCTGTTTATCATTGTTTGCCTTTGACCTGCCAAGTTAACCCTGTTTGCTGATCACCTGAATTTTGCCTGTCTGATCTTGAACCCGCGTTACATTTTTGGAATTACGTTTTGTTCGCCTGTTTTTTTTTTATTAAACACTGCTTTACCTGCAATTGCATCTGTCTTCGCCTCCATTTCATGACAATAACAGACAGTTTATCTACTAGCATCAAAAAACAAAATTATTTTGTTCTTTTCTCACTCACTGTTTTCCAGAAACATTTAATGTCATTACTAATTAAAAAATAATCCAATGTAGAAGTAGTGGAGACAGCAAACATTGCACTCAATGTTCCAGAATATTTACGCTAAGTTACGGC